TATAAATTTCAGCTGGTAAAGTACGAGTGGCTTCCGTTTGCTCTGTGTGATTAGATTGCTGTGCCTGTGCCGTGGCCTCCAGTGGGGGATGGGCCTCCATGTCGGTGTACCAGAGAAATCAGAATAAGAGCTGTTATATTCCAGTAATTCCTCACTGCAGGAGGAGCTAAATCATCAAAAAAAATTTTTTTTGAAGTTATAAACCAAAATGATCAGGAAAAATGGAATCATCTACTTGTTCTGCCACTGGAGGCAAAAATCTTTTGGCCTGAAGGGTAGAATTTTGTCCTGGAGCCTCCAGTAACATTGGAATGAAACTTTGAAATCTGCAGCTGGAAGGTAAAGTACATTAACGCTGAATGAAGAGAGTAGCTATGCAGCACAATTGGCAGAATCTCACATTATTGTACATTATCAAGTAATTTACAGTGTATCTAGAGTACCTATTGCTTTAGTATATTAACATGTTTGTATTTTCGGATTTTAATTTATTGAATTTTCCTGGGAACTTATCAGTGTTTATTACTACAACAGCAAAAACAGGCGAAGAGCAGTGGAAAAAATAATTTTTTCTGGGTAAATATTTGGATTTAATTTTGTGAAAAGAAAGATGGGGAGAAGTATTCAAGTAGATAAATACTTTGATGAATAGAATTAGTTCTGCAGCAAACCACATTGAAAACAGAACTGAAAATAAAATATCACCTCTGAGTTTAAAAGACCAATATGTCTCTAATCTCCAAAAAAAACCTGTCATTTGAATTAACGATTTACTGTTGTACACTTAAAACTATAGACTTATAAATATTTACATTTAGTAATTGGGCCATACAATTTGCAGCTCATACATGCATCTTCATCCTTTTCTTTTGTTTTTCTACAACTTTGGAATATTGCCTTGTATTCTGAAACACATAAAATCATAAAATACTAAGACTGGAAGGGACCTCGAGAGGTCATCGAGTCCAGTCCCCTGCCCTCATGGCAGGACCAAATACTGTCTAGACCACCCCGATAGACATTTATCTAACCTACTCTTAAATATCTCCACAGATGGAGATTCCACAACCTCCCTGGCCAATTTATTCCAGTGTTTGACTACCCTGACAGTTAGGAACTTTTTCCTAATGTCCAACCTAAACCTCCCTTGCTGCAATTTAAGCCCATTGCTTCTTGTTCTATCCCCGGAGGCCAAGATGAACAAGTTTTCTCCCTCCTCCTTATGACATCCTTTTAGATATCTGAAAACTGCTATCATGTCCCCCCTCAATCTTATCTTTTATAAACTAAATTCAGATACAGATTTTCATTTTTTTCCAATACTAGTGTGCCACATCTTTAAACCAATACCCACAAACAGCTTGAAATATTTGTGGTGAGTGTGAAATTCATCAGTACATTCAGATGCACACATTCATCTTCTAAACTCATACATAACATTTTCAACAAGCACCTTTGTATATATAATGTGTTATCATGATATATGTATTTCATGCAACGTATCATATTTTCTTATGAAACAAATTATTTTTATGCCTTTCAATTATACAGGCAGTCCCCGGGTTACATACAACATAGGGACTGTAGGTTTGTTCTTAAGTTGAATCTGCATCTAAGTCGGAACTGGCGTCCAGATTCAGCCGCTGCTGAAACTGACTGCCAGTTCTGACTTACATACAGAATCAACTTAAGAACCCCAGGCGTCCCCAAGTCAGCTGCTGCTGAAACTGATCAGCAGCTGATTCCAGGAAGCCCGGGGCAGAGCAACTCTGCTGGCACCGGAGCAGCGAGAAAGCCCCGTTCGTAAGTGCGGATCCGACGTAAGTCGGATCCGCGTAAGTCGGGGACTGCCTGTATATGCAATAACATGTCACTTACTTTTGAGATATTTTCTGCAATCTGGTAGCTAAATATTTATTTAGTTTTAATTTATTTATTCTTCTTTGAAAACCATGTTCTTTCGAAATCAGTTCACCTTATCGATAATTTTAAGTTCTGCTAGTGATTAAATTTGTATCTAGTTAAAGGGATGGGGACCTATGGCCCAGCATGCGGCATGTCTTGATCCGGCCCACGAGGCTTGGGCTCTCTCTTCCCACAACAGAGCAAGCCAGAGCTGGCTTGTCCTGCTATGGAGTCCGGAATCCCAAGCGTAACAGGCTGGATCAATGCAAGTTACAGGCTGCATCGGGCCCACGGGCTCTGCCTAGCAGGGGAGAGGAAGTGGTTCTTCATTCTGATGTCATCCCCTACTCCCTCTGGCTGGGGAGTGCCTGGGCTGCCCCCCTGCCGGCTTCCCCCCAGGCTTTGCAAAGCCGCTGCCTGAGCCCCTCCGCGGCTTTGCTTCGCGTCTTCCTGGTCTGCAGACCAGGGAGATGCGGAGAAAGCCCCGGAGTACACGGGCGGCAGGACCGCGAGGTCCCGCAGTCCGTGTCCTCTGGGGGAGCCCTGTTCGTAACTGTGGATCCGACATAAGTCGGATCCGCGTAAGTCGGGGACTGCCTGTATAAAAGTTGGGTGAAAATCAGGAAAAACCCACAAACAATACTTTTTGTAAAACCTGGAATTTTGTCAGTAAAAAGGAGTTTAAACTAAAACCGAAGAAATTTACTCATTACATATATTTTTAGTATGCTCAGGGCAGTATACATTTTGTGAAGAGAAAATTAAAAGATGCCATAACTTGAAAGATTCAACCTTCATACACATATTATCTTTTTATGGAAAATTTGTTTTTCAAGTTGTCAACTCACCAAAAATGGAAGAAATACTTACCACAATGATCATTTTCTAAAGTGGCTTGAGAGCTACTGCAAATATCTACACATTTTTTCCCCATTACTAAGCTATGTGGACTGGCAGCATCCTGCTCCAACACATTCTGCAGGCTGGCAGCATCCTGCTCTGGCCTCCATTTTTCTGGGTGTAAAAAAAGAGCATTCTGAAATTTTAAAAGTCTTCACTATTATGTGGCAGTTATACCGTAAGTATCTTTGAAAATTGTTGCCAAATACCGATAAAATCTGGGTTTCTCTGGTCCAGCAACATCCATGGTCCAGCATGACCAGGGATGTTCCAGGATCAGATTGTCCCAGTGTGTTGTGGAGGATTGGGGGCTTCTGGGTGTAAAAAAAGAGCATTCTGAAATTTTAAAAGTCTTCACTATTATGTGGCAGTTATACCGTAAGTATCTTTGAAAATTGTTGCCAAATACCGATAAAATCTGGGTTTCTCTGGTCCAGCAACATCCATGGTCCAGCATGACCAGGGATGTTCCAGGATCAGATTGTCCCAGTGTGTTGTGGAGGATTGGGGGCCTGGGAGTTGGCACACGGCTCAGCTGGACTGAGGGAGGAGGAGGAGAGCCTGCATGCAGCTCAGCTGGGCTGCAAGTGGGGGCAGGGAGCCAGCATGTGGCTCAGCTGGGCTGCAAGCGGGGGGTAGGAAGTCTGGGGAGGGGGAGGCTGACAGGGATGCCTGAAATGACCTCCTCTGATCTGGAAAAATTCTTCATATGGGGACCAGTCAGGTCCCAAGGGCGCTGGACAAGGGAGGTCCAACCTGTAATGTCTGATTGACATGTATAACAAACGCTTCTTAATATGCCCTTTGGACATTCATTAATTAGTCAAGATAGAATTCCGGTATGTAGTGAAATTATTCAATAAAAATTCAAGCAAACAGAAAATTAAAAGAGTTTTCATTTTGGTGGTGGTGACTAATCTGTAGTCTGTACTATAACCATGATATCCAACACTAACATTACACTGTATGTGAAAGACCTTAAGAAAGCCAACAGAGCTGGGCGGAGAATGGAAAATCTTATTTGTAGAAGACTGAGATTTCAAAATCTGGTTTTGTTCCAATTAGGAATGGAAAATCAAAACTTCAATTACATGGAGAATCTCAGAATTACAGTTTTTTATACATCTCTTGCTAATAGCCCTAGATTCACAATTACTTTGAAAAGAGTGCTCAGGCTCCTGGGATTCCTAAGACTTCGAGACTCTGAGCTCACCATCTGCCCACCAGTTAACAGATGAAAAACTGGGACCCAGGAAGTAAAATGCTGCCAAAGAGGTGAGTGGGCAAGCTGGCAGATAACCAAGCAGATTCTGGCAGACAGAGTTCTATGGTTTCATAGATAATGACATAAAACAGCCTATAAAATTATGATAGGTATAAATCTAGCTCAGATTTTAGAAAATTTTGCCCCTCAAATATATTACAGTTTTTGAAAAAAAATCAGAGCAGTGCATAACAAAGAACAGGCAGGTAACATTTACTTAGATTTCAAAATAGCCTGAGAGAAACATTAGCTCTTGCAAAATCAACATCACAAACACTACTAAAAAAATAAAACCACTTGCAAGAATAAATTGTCAATATTTAAATATTAAAAGAAGATTAATAGTTTTGCCCTCAAGAGTCCGTATTAACACTAGTGCTAAAATACTAATAATGAGAAAAAAAATATTAGCAAAGAACAACAAATTTCTTGACACTAAGGTTACGTCTATACTGCAGCCTTCTTCCGCAAAAGCTTATGCAAATGAAGCACAGAGTAGAATATCGCCATGCTTCATTTGCATAATTAGCAGCCGTTTTTGCGCAAGATGCTTTTGCGCAAAGAGGAGCTGTGTAGGTGGCACCTATCTGCACAAAAAACTCCTCTTGAAAAAATGAGGAATGGCTCTTGCGCAAGAGGGGGTTTTTGCACAAAAAGGCACCACCTACACAGTTCCTTTTTGCACAAAAGCATCTTCTACAAAACCAGCTACTAATTATGCAAATGAAGCACGGCGATATTATACTCCACGTTTCATTTGCATAAGCTTTGCGTAAGAAGGCTTCAGCACTGAAGACCTGAATCTCACTACAGCTCTGATTCCCTCTTGTGTGCCTTTCAAGACAGAATAATATGAACTATCCACATAAGAAACTTGTCTGGGGGAATTAATTATATTGTTTTTATATCCAACAGATGTGAGATCTCTTGAGAGTTTGTGTTTGATAGAATTTCTCAAGATAAATGATTGAACTGAGAAGGAATGGAATGTAGCTCTTAGCTCCAGTGTCTACTTTCATCTATTTATCCCTACTTAAGAGACCCTACTCGAGAAATGGGATAGTCTCTACACCTTAGGCTCAGACTGAGCAAAATTGTCATGATGTGCTCTTAGGGGTTTTGCTGACACCCCCATTTTTGGCTATCTAAATACGTTACTCACTTTGTGTGGTAACAAAGGCTCTTCGAGATGTGTACCCTTTTGGGTGCTCCACTTAAAGTGTCGGTGTGTCCTCATGACAGTGATTGGAGATTTTTGCTGGAGGTGTCCATCTGCACCCTATATACATACTAGTCATCTTATGGTGCTGTAGGTGCTCACCGCAAGGGTGATATAACCCCCTCTGTTCCTTCTCTTCCAGAGAATTAGCAGTACAAGAATGAATCTCTAAAGTAGAGGGGAGAAGTGCAGGTAGTGGAGCACCTACAGGGACAAGTATCTCAAAAAAGCTGTAGTCACTGCACAAGGTAAGAGAGGTTACTCATAGTAACTGACATTCTTCGAGATAGGTGTACCTGTGGGTGCTCCACAGCAGGTGTCAGTGCATCCCAGTGCCATTGACCGGAGTCTTTACAGTAGTATCCAGGGGGTCATGAATGTGTGGTGTTCTGCGTGGGACGATGCCATGCGTATCTGTATTGTGTTCGGTGCCAATCACTGCATTGGTACCATAATGGCTGTGGCGCTGAGTGGGGGATCTATGGGGCTAACATCTGGTACGGGCAGTTGTACTGCCCTATGTGTAGCCCCCTGCACTGAGGTGGCATGGTGTTTGTTTGGTGTTGTATTAGATAATGTAGTCTGTAAGGCAGGCATATTCAAGCCTGGGGTCTCAGCACCGGATCTGTGCATACTGTGCCTATTACTAGTGCGCTTTGTGCTGGAGACACCTGGAGCATTATATGTGCTAAGGTGCAGCGGTATTTTGGCCAGTGGTGCCAATTTAGTTGTCGGATGCCATTTTGGTGATGGAACCTTATGTGGCACCAAGGCGGCACATTTTTTGATTTCTTCTTTATTGGTTGGGGAATTTCAACCACTTCAGCACCTGGGTCAGAGGTTGGATGTTGAGATTTTTTCAGCATGATTAATTTGAGATGCAGGTCTCTGTCTCTAGGGGTTTGCACCATCAGTTTGAAGTAATGATGGCAATCTTGTGGGACATGAGACTTTTCCCAAAATCTGACATTTAGAATGCCCATCCAATATGGGAATAAGCATCACTGCAAACGTTGCGGCATTTGAATCTTGGAGAGCTGGATATGGTTAATTCAATTTAAATAACTCCAATAGTAATACGAAAATTCTGAAGAATTTTTTTTTTAAGGGAAGAAGAACTTGGATTGAACAGCAACGTTACGAGGGGGAAACAAAAAAACAAACTACTCATCTATAGGCATCTATCAACGGTAAGTGAAGACCACTGCTGAGCTCAGTAAGAAGGAACTGAGCAGAGGGGGGTTGCGCGTGCGCAGTCTCAGCATGCTGGATCCATACAGCCAGAGGACTGCGCATGCATGGCCCCCCCCCCCCCCCCTCCAACACTGCTATAAAGACTTGGTTTGATGCCACTGTAACACACTCACAACTGCTGTGGAACACACACAGGGACGTCTCTTGAAGAACTACTCCTTCGAGCGGTGTCCCTAGTGGTGCTCCACACTTTAGGTGTCTGTAAAGCAGTGGCCCCTGTAAGAGTGGTGGGATTTGGAGATCTGTCTTGGATGTGCAGAAGAGCAAAGAGAGGCTGACGGCAGTAATAAGGATAGTGCCATCTGTGATGGTATCAAGTTTCATGAAGGTGTACTCCAAAGACCAGTTTACAGCTCTGCATATGTCTGTTAATAGGACATTTTAAAAGAATGCTGTGAAAACTGTCACAGCTTGAGTGGAATTCGCTGCGACTCCCTGAGGCAGATGTTTTTCATGTATTGAGCAGCAAGTGTATATGCAAGTAGAGATCCACTTGAAGAGTCATTGGGAGGAATTGCAGATCCTCTGGATCATTCTGCTATGGATATAAATAGTCTTGTGGAGTTGTACAATGATTTGGTAATATCAAGGTAGAAGGCACCTGCTCATCTTATGTTGTGTGTGTGAAGCCATGCTTTGAGTGTGTCCTTATATGGTTTAGGAAAGAATGCAGGTAAGCGTATAGGTCCATTAATGTGGAAAATGGAGGCAACATTTGGAAAAAATTCAGGATGAAGTTGTACAGTAATTTTATCTTTTGTGAAAATAGTGTATGGAAGTTCTGCCATAAGGGCTGCTATTTTTCCAATGCATTTGGCAGATGCGATTGCCAGCAGGAAGGCAACTTTTACTGACATGTGGAACGGAGCAGATGGCCAAGGGTTCAAATGGTGATCTTGTAAGACTTTTGAGGACATAGTTACGGTCTCATGGTGATGTATGTCTCTGCACTTCAGGGTATGTTTTGGATTCCCGTGAGAAAGTGTTTAGTAGTAGGGCAGGCAAAGATCAATAAGGCATCCACCAGTTTCTTGAAGGTCGTGATAGCCATCAGATGGACTTGAAGGGAGCTCATCTGATTCTTTAAGATCCAACATGTACTGGACTATCATAAATAAGGGCAGCCTGATAGGAGACAGCTAAGTTTGCTGGCACCATAGGGAAATCTTTTCTACTTGATAGGTAAGTATCCATGGTTGTGAGACAATGGTTAGTTAGTAATACATTTTATACCCTGTTAGAACAGGTTTCCACTCCATGTTGGACTCATGGAGGAGCCACTTTGAACTGGAGAGGCCCTGGGTTTAGGGGCAGTGTGTGGCTCCGATGATACGAGAAGATATCCGGTTGCAGAGGTAGGAGATGAG